CGTTCGGTCTATAAGCTAATATATGCTCAGGCATTGATAGAATTGTTTAAAGAAAAAACCCAATTAACTAGAGACATGATGATGAGTGGCAGAGGCAAAGGGGGAGTGGGAGGTTCAGTTGCACGTGCCCCACGAGGTGTGACCACGAGCCAAAGACGCTTGATGCCTGCCTGCCTGCTGCCTGCCAACACCACAAATCGGTCTTTGGTCTTCGGTCTTTCGGTCTATGCTCTAAATGATTATATAGAACATGGAACTATACTCGTAGAACTATGCTATGTGGATGCTACCACTAATGATGATTGTGTTTTCCTTTGGGGATTGTTTCGTTTCGTTCGTTTGTTGTAAGCGTGTTCGTTACGCTCCGCAGTTGCATCAACAGCAAGCAAGCAAGCACACACACATCCCAAACAACATTACTCCCAAAGTTAATGTTAATGTCGCGTTCTAGAAATGATAATGATGCCCACCCCCACCCCCACCAAACCATGCACCCCATCCATGGGGCATGTGGCAGAAGAGGGAGAGATGAAACCTGCAGCGTCATCTCGCTTGGCTGAAGAAACATTTGACAAACAGTTGTGCTCCAGAAAGCAAATAAAAAAAAGCAACCTATAAAGTTATTACATTTTTCAGTATTTCGGTATTTATTTTTCTTAAATTTCCAACATTCCGAAAACCCTCTCTCTTTCCCTCTGAAAAGGCACATTTAATTGGAAACAATTTCCAGAGGGTGTTCTTCACAGCCAAAAAGTTGCTGGTTGGCCCTGCCCTCTGCACCACCACCCAAAAAAAAAGTCAAGAAGTCTAATTACCAAAAGTCATTCCACGGCTTAAACCCCTTGGCATTCGCCGCGCTCTCCGCGGTCCCCTTCTTGCTGCTGATTTAAATTTTTGACATAAACTTTTGTTGAACTAAAAGAACACGAGAAAACTACACACAGAAAACTACAGAAAAACAAAAAACACAACAAAACACAGAAGGGAAAATAAAAATAGCAAAGTCATTTAATTGCGAAAACGCGTTTTAATTGCTTCGGAGTTTGGAGCAGAGACCCAGAGCCAAGAGCCAGCGCCAGAGCCCCTGCTCTTGGGGAGCTGAATGAACCATGGGAGAACCCCATTCGTAGAACGGCATTCTTTACTTTTGTGGTGTGAGTACGAGTATGAGAATGGTATTTTAACCTCTTTCCTTCAAGTGCGTTTCCCAGCGTTAATTTCCGCAGAGGCCACCACAAGAGACATCTTGCCAAAAAAAAAAAAAAAAATTAAAGGCCCAAATGCCACATAATTTCATTAGTTGAACCAAAAAGTTACACTCCAGTAAGCGCGGTTATAACTTTAACTTTCTGAAGAGCAGATCTGAAGGAAGTGGGCTTCTGGCTTACCTCTAAATTGGTGACTTTGGTGGCATGGGAAAGTCATTCCCTTAATTGGTGACCCCGACAATTATACGGTAGGGTGAATCCTCAACCAACCAAAGGGCCAACACTTTTAGGAATCTATTAGGCAAGTCGTCTCCCCAACTAAAAGGATTAGCTAAGCTTTTAATTTAAGAGGTTTTGTTTTACAGCTGCAACTCGTGCGGCTCCTTCAACTGCAATTGTTATTGTTGTAACTCCTTCACTTCCTTCCTCTTAAGCTAACCACTACCAAAGTGTTCTTTCTGCTCTATAAATTAAAATCAATTATTGCCACAAATCTAAGGCCATGAGAAACAACAGCAGCAGCAGCAGCAGCCTGTTGCACACAGATTCTTTTGGGTTGGGTTTTGGTTTTGCTTTGGTTTTAAGTTGGGTTTTTGAAAGGGGAGTCCGTCCATTGCGTCCAAGGCGTAGGCTCATAAATCGAGAGGCAAGTTGTCATGGCCGTGGGGCAAAGTTTTGGACATTGATTGCCAGCTTCTACATATTTTCCCACAGTGCAACTGAGAGCCTGATCGAAAAGTGAAAGAAAATGTGCAATGGTAGGCCACCATAAAGGAGTACTAATCCAGGGATACCCTGTAGTTGACCCACAATGCAAGGAGTTTTGAGATAGAATCAAAAGAATACTAGAATAAAATTGGAAGAATATTGAAAAATGACTTAATTAATACTGGAAAGATAAATAAACGCTAACGAGTGAATCTCAATGCATACTCTCTATTTAAGGGGGAAACTTCGAAGAGCAGAAACTCCGAAAATGAAGTTAAGAGGAATAACAGCTGATATGGTAAGGAATTTATGGATTGTATAGAGTATTAGATGGTGTCTCAGTATATTCTCGCTTCTTTTGCGAATATCAACATACCCCAGAGAGCTGTCACGCTCGTCATAGAGGGTACGCGGCGAATAAAAAGTTATTAAATGCAGTCAGTGGGAGCTGCAGCCGGAGTGCAGCAGGAGGCTGGTAGGCCTGTGTGGCAGCCACCTGTGACATGAAATGGAGCATGGAAGCAGGCTGCATGGAGAGCTTGGAGCGTGGAGCGTGGGGCTTAGACAGAGCAGCGACAGAGAGACGTTGCGTTGCGGCAATTACGCGTCTCTAAACAGCTGAGACCCCGAGAGGAGTGGGGGGAGTTGTACGACTGAGGAATGGCCATGAGGATTGCAGGAGGAGGAGTAGCAGTAGAAGCTGCAGGAGGAGTAGGAGTAGGAGTTGGGTGCTCGGGGATCGGCAGAAATTAAAATTACACCCGCGGGCCATGTGGGGCACACAGAAGAGAGAGAGACCCAATGCGGAGGACTTCTAAAATTATAAATACAACAATTCAAAGTGGACTTCCACAGAATGGAGTCTGCTATGGGAGCATCCGACAAACCGATCCGCAATCCAATCCCAATCCGATACGATACGTTGCCCCCGATGCCATGCCATGGGAATTACACTAATTTAAAGTAATTGGCTATAGTTTTTCACTTGGCATTTAAATACGAGCGAGCGAAAGAGACAGAGAGAGTCGAGTGTGTGTCCAGTTCTCATCCCCATCCCAATCCCTGCTCCCAGAGACCATTCCAGTGTCCATCCGAATGTCCGTTCGCCTGGGACGCTGCTGCGGTTCGCAATTTTAATCGATTTGCGTATATGGCGAAAGGAGGACTATTAAAAGGAAAAAAAAAAGAAGAAGAAACAACAACAACAGCCAACCCATGAGCCGAAAATGAGACTCTTGCAACATGGGGCCAAAATCAGCGTACCCAAAAGTGGGCGTTGCCCCAAACTGAATGGGAAAATGAGTGAGTTCTGAGTGTATGCCCCGCGATGACGACGATGACGACGGCGACGACGACGCATTCCAAGTAGCGCATATGATGCTGCAAATGGACTCTCCACCGGGAGCTGGGGCTGGAGGAGCTGCCCCAAAGCAAGCAGCCAGGCAGCAGCGAGAAGCCTTCAAACCAAAACTAATTAAAATCGCCCAAAAACAAAACCCAAAACCCAGAGCCAGAGATACCAGAGATCAGGGCTAGGAACCCAAAGCGGTAGCCAGAAACTGGGAATACTCTTTGAAAGAAACTTATGGCGAGGGTCTAACTGGGAAAGAGCAATGGATAAAGATAAGGAGAGAGAGGGTGCTGCACTCACCCTTCGCAGCTAAGCCACACTGGGTAAGAGAGCAGCACTGGGAAAGAGAGCTAGCAAGTGGACAAAAGGAAAGAGAGAAGGAACTAGCTGGTGATGCCTTCTTTCTGGAATGCATTCCAGATAGGAAAACTCAAACCTTTACTGCAACTAAGCCACACTGGGAGAGGGAAAAAGAGAGCAATTACATGGCACAAACCCACATCCAATAACCCATATACCCCTCTTAGTCAAAAAGAGTATTAAAGACCTAAACCAAACAGAAACCAAACAGATTCGAGTATGTACCTTTCGAGTAGACGACGACTCGAGCCAAAAACCCCGAGACAATTCTGAGACACATGCCCGTATTGGTGGCAGGAGCAACCTTTTGCCCATCTGCATGCCTTTTGGGCCCTCGGGCGCTGCCGATCGGCGAGAGATCGGTGCAGAGGTGGCTCCCATTTTCTTAACCACTAAAATTAATAATAAGTGATCTGGATCTGGTTTCCACAGAGAGAGAGAGAGAGCACAAAAACAAAAACTGAGTCTCTAGAACGATGCCTCCGTCTCGGGCATAAATAAATGTTATGTGTTTTTTGCCACAGCCACCGAAGGAGCAGGAGCAGGAGCAGTCGCAACAGCAGAGATGGGGCGAGCTTTAAAGGAACCAAAAGGCAAATCCATAATGCTCCCCTCCATACATCCCACTCCCGATGCTCCTTCTGCTCCACGTTCCTCCTTTGGCACCTTTGTGGCCTGCGGCGAGACAACAAAATCATTTTGCCGCCGCCAAAGATCTGGGAGGGAAAGGGAATGGGTATGAAAACCACAACTGGAGCATAAGGGATCCTTGGTGTTTTTGGACAGGGGGTTGGAGCGCCCCATTATTGATTGGCTAATCAAATCATTTGGCCAGACTTAAAACTTACGGGGTGGAGAACACAGGACCAACGACAGCCGCAATTATCATTCCACAAAGTCGAGACGCGACACGGCTCTGACTAATTAATAATCCCAGCGATTAGCAGAGACCCCAAAATAACAGCAACCAACATAAGCCCAGACATTGTGTGGCACTCTTCTCTGTCTCGAGTCTACTTTTGGCACATCTTCTGCTCTCTTCGTTCGCTGGAAACGCTGAAACCCTTGCCCACATATCTCACTCCCTGCCTGCCTCTCAATTCCTTGCCACATCTCTCACTCCCTACAGTTCCTGGTTCTCCCTTTTGGTTATTTTATTAATTAAAAAATCTTTCTCGTGGCTTTTGAAGGAGGCTGTAACTTGGGGGCAAGGCTGTTCCACTCAACACCCAAGCTGAAAGCACAAGTCCATCTGTTGTCTCAAAGATGATGCTCTTTTTGGTACGTTAGGGAGCTTTTCCTTTAAAAAATTTTTTGTTTTTCTGGCTAGAGTTTAACCCAGAAAAATGGGTATTTCGGATATGTGTACATACCTCAATGAAAGTTTTTTCAGAGCAATTTCCAGCTTTGAAAATAAACTCCGTCACGAAAAAATTGTGTGTTTCCATCTATTTAGCCTGGATCAGCCTGCAATCAGAAAGATACAACTAATTAATTTAATTTCTTTTCCTATATATCATCTGAGGAGTATCCCTAGTTTTTTATTCACTTGTAGTGTTTCAATAATCAACGCACATAAAATTCTGTAAGTTTCTTTCCCTTTTCTTTTTCAATAGAGTATCGCCAGTTCTATAGACTCTGTGTATGATTTTTCCCACCTTGTTTTCATTTGTTTATTTGGCGCTTTTTGGTGTTTCAGCATTAATTAGTTCCCTTTCGCGTGGCGTGTGGTAGGTGTTCCCTTAATGAGTCGCCGCAGACGCCTCCTGCTGCAAGAAAAATAAGAGCATCGGGAGTCCAAGCAGGAGGTGTACTTGATGGGCTGTTCCCACAAATGTTTGAACAACTTAGTTCCCCGCAAATAAGTTTATTAGTAGTAGTCCGTCCCTGTGATTGAGGGCGGGTATCGGAAAAGGGGGCGTTATATGATGGAGAACCCTTCCACAGTTCGGCGAGCAGCTGCTGCTGCCGAGTGGCACTCCACAAATAAACACATAAATATGTAAGCCAAAAAAAGGGAAAAAGGGAGAAAAAATTCCATTTTTAATAAGCGAAGGCTGAGCTGGGGGATTCATTTCATTAAGCCCATTTAAAAGTTGTGTGGCATGCCGCTTGGGGAGTGCGCTCAAGCGAGGCATTAAGCATTGGACAGGACAGGAGAAATGATGCATGACAGCCAGCAGGATGCGTGCCGAGATTACAGGTTGTAATGGCAGATTTACAGATCATGGGGAGCAGTGTTTATCCAAAAGGATATATAATGGAGTCGTTCCAGAGGTTGAAGCGATGTTTGATTGAAGAGTAAAAGGAACGAAGCAATGGCAGATTGAAGTTTAAAGAGATGATAATAAATTGATGATGATAAATTTAAGATTAAAAAATAATGCAAATTAAAGATTTAAGTGATTTAAGATTGTATACAGACAATAGATTAAAGAGATGCAATATTTAAATATGTTTAATCCTTTAAATATTCCCTGTTTTTTCCGCATTTAAATCCCTCTTCTCGGTTGCACAGCATTTTCCACACAAACAACAAAAAAGGAGATGCAGTGACATTCGCTTTGGCGCCTCTGTTAATGAAATTAGTTTTTCATGGTAAAAGCGAGCAGCGTAAAATTCAATTTTAGCTCTGGCCAAAAATTCCACCGAAAATTTCACAGGAGATTCAACCACTTTACGGCCCCACCGCCGTGGGTGGATCCGGCCATGGGGGGAGATTACATTACCATAATCGTAGGCAAATCCCCAACCGAATGAGCGAGCAATGGACATGTGGCATTTAATGCCAATTAAATGGCCAAAAGGCGGAAATAGCAGGCAAATAGCTAATTGATGGATGCATCCGCATCCGCATACGATAGATGCATTTGCATTTGCATCTGTGTCTGTATCTGTATCATTGTTTGTCGGATTATAGAAGCAACACAGAACACACACTAATCGCGGTGCCATTATGATGGATTGTTATGTCAGAGGATTGTTGGATTGCGGGAAGTGTTTTGCCAATTGAAATGCCGATTGATTATGCTGTCATTTATCTGTGGTTTGTTTGAAAGATAATAAATACTAGGCACATAGTATCTAATGATATGATTATGTTGTCATTTATTTGTGGTTTATACAGAGAGAGATGGATTGATATGAAAACGATTGCATAAATTTGTAGCTATAGGATAACTTTGTAGCTATAAAAATATTTCATAATTAATCTTTAAAATGGATATTTAAGTAGAATAGGATTAAGAGTTTAAAAAAGTGAAAATATCTAATTATTACTCATTTAAATGATATTTTATGGGCTACATTTTTGGGCAAGAAATGAGAACCGTATAAGAAAATTCTCTGCTAACTGGTGGTCTCAATAGGGAAATTTTCTTCATCTCTACAGAACACACAAAAAAAACAACTATCTTAAGGAGAGAAACCCTGATAAAAAGCAGTATGTGGAATATATTTCTACTCTTACTATTCCACAACGAAACTTCATACTACTACATGGAAGACTGACTCATCCCCAACAGCTCAGTTCTTCTCTATAGAGTACCTGGAATGGATCTCAGAGGGGAACCTCTCAGGGATCAGAAGAACATAATTTCTCTCCCTCTCTTTCACTCTTTCACTCTCTCTCTCTCTAGAACATCATCTCCCATATGTTGCCTTCCTTCTTTCCTTTCGTGGGTTTTGCCGCATTTCGATTCATCGTGGAATGAATTGCCGTTTTCTATTCCATTCTGTGTTCGACCAATAAACATAAACATTCGTGTTTATTGCAAATTATGGAATCAAATGAGTATCCAGGATACAGCAGTGTACAGCAGGACTTGTGTCACATGCTGTGGCAGCAACAGCATATGGCAGGGATCTCTTTGGATCTGGATCTATGGTCTATGCGGTCCACAGCTGTTGCTGAAAGTCGCGTGCCACACAGGGAAAATGGATGCAGTAGACAGACAGCAGGGAAAGTATATTGAAAGGACGCCCCAAGGAGCAGCACGATTGCTTATCACGATATCTGTCATGATGGTGCAACACCACCTGAGACTCTGAGACTCAGAGACGAGACTCGTGTCAGTTGTCAGTCAGCGAGGAGTCGACACTCCAGAGGAAAGTCCTCGTCAGCAGGAGGCAGGCCGCGGCAGCAGCTCCTTTTCCGTAATGATGATGCTGTCAGATTTGGCTGCCCCCGGAGCAGTAGGAGACAACAGTTGTTTGAGTTGCCACAACAGGCAGAGTTGCAAGCAGTTTTCACTTTTGTTCCCCCTCTACGAGAAATGGAAATGAAAAGTGTTTCTTCAATAATTTGTAAATATAATTTGGTTGCCGCAACAGATGCTGCCACCTTTCGATTCTTCATTCGGTTTACCTATTCCTTTTTTCTTTCTTTTTTCTTGTTTTGTTTTTCTAAAATGAAAATTAGTTTTGACGCGCTGTTATGACGTCTCGTCCGGCTGCTGCATCCATTACGAAGCCCTTGATTGAGGACACGATCCTTCCTTTTCTGACCAACAACTGGACCCACAGAATGACCCACCATATGGTCAGTATCCTTGGCGTTCCTTAGCGCGCGTGCCCAGCGCATGCTTTCCAGGAATCGCTGGACACCCACAACTAATCAGCATATATTTAGGAGAAAGACAGCTCCGAGCAGAGTGTGGGAGGCGTGGCTCATTAGGTGCACCTTTGCTGGGAGTAGGATTGGGTCTTTGCTGTTTAATTTCACATTTATCTGGTAGTCTCTTCAATATATTTTATATCTGTTGCTTTTTAATGGGTATTTAGTGGAGTGTTTTCGTCTTATTTTCTCATTTTTAGAAGACTTTCCTTTCCCTGTCATTTCCTTATTTGTTGCCTTCGAAATCGATATAAATATTTCTTTCGTTTTAATCTATACGGTTCTGTTGTAGAATCTTTAAAGGAGAGAGAGGTCCTTCTATATGAAAATCGTTTTACATCTCCCTTCGATTGTGGGTGATCTTTTAGCAGCAAAGTTTCACCACAGAATGAATTATATTCTCAGAATCTATTCCACCTTTTGATCACAGTTTTACCTCTGTAGTAGGCTCCGTGGGACCTCCCTGCAGGACATCATTCGATGTACATCACGTACATCATTTGGCTGATGAATGAACGAACGAACGAATGAATGAGCGAATCATTTCCCTGTTCATACGCTTGAACGTGTCCTTTGGGCAGCATTGCTAATTCCTCACGCACATCCATGGGTTGTTCCAGGGGTTGGGGGGTGGTAGGGGGGTAAAAAGAACCAAAACTCAATGCGAATAAATTTGTATTTCCATTTTCCGCATTTCCCTAAAACGTGACTGACAAAATGTGTGTCACGGTCACAAGCCCATGACAAATTGCAGGGCGCGTGAGGCAGCACACAGCAGCAGCAGCAGCACACATCAGACCTTGCCACCAAATGAGTGCCGTAACGGACTGTGCCACAGATTTTCACTCCTGATTCCTGATTCCTCTGATCTCCCTGCCTCAAAACAACAAAAAAGAAACAACACAAAACAATGACACAGCGTGAGGTCTGGAGATTTGCTCATCCTCTTTTTTTTCGGGGCATAAACCGATTGAAGGAATTATTACGCAAAATAGAGTTTCGACAATTGATAGAAATGGTTTTGGGATTACGAGTTGAAGGTTTAGGTTTGGGTTTGGGTTTGGGTCTAGGGACTGGTTGGGCAGATAGATAGAAGCGAGGCTCAGGCATGGAACTGTGTACTTGCAACCCCTTTGCAATCCTCTGTAGATTTCTATTGCATTGCCTTTCAAAAGCGAATAAATTCAGGGGAAGCGTTGAAATGGAAATGGAAAAATTATCAGCACGCGATTGAAGCAACGATCTGTCACTAATTACTGCCACTGCCACGGCCCTTATTGTTGCTGTTACTGTTGCTGCCACAACAGCGACTCCTCCTTCTCCTCCTGTCACGGCTGCCACTTTGAGGCAGGTGCAACAACTTCAATTGCAACTGCAACTGCAGTTGATTGAGTCGCAGCAGATCGGAACGGAGGCGACACGGGGCAAAAGCGATGCAGATCGGAAAGGAGAAAGGGCAGGCAGCGGACCCAATCCAAAGTGGAGCAGCAGAATGGTGCAGAGCGGCTGAGATCTGTGGCTAAAGCGGGCGCAGGAGAGCGGTACGGCGGATCTGTGGCATGGGGCAGGCAGAGCGTTGCGTTTGCGGTGCGGTTCAACGGCTTTCAATGGTCGCGAGCGTACGACACGGCGCGTGCTTTACCCCGACATCATCGGCATCTGAATCTCCATTTCTGTATCTGGGGCTGGCACTGGCGATGGCTTTGCCATTGGTTTTCGGTTGGGTTTTGGTTGATTTTTTCCCTGGTTTTTGGTCGGGATTCAGCCGTTTCCGTGCGCCAGCTGCAATTTGTGGCTCAATGCAGTTGGCCCACAAAAAAATAAGAGCCAGGCGGAACGAACAGAAGAGGAG